ACTCGGGTGTTGGGCAGCTAAAGAAACAAAATGTGGGGACCCAAATTACTTTTTGATTAAAATTTGTTGCAATTAAATTTCTTCTCATCATCACCCATTATATTTGGTTGTGATGTTGACTTACCCTATCAAATAATGATTTTTAAGAGTATTTTATTATTCCATTTAATTCTCCAAACTCTCAACATAATCTAATGCTTTTTTTCTAATACTCCATTATCTCTTTTGTCACTTGGATTATATTGATGTGGTGCCAAACAATCCTAGGACCAACCTCAGCATTTAATTTATTGACTAGCCCACTCATCGTTTGTTACATTTTTTTTTTTTTTTTTTTTTCCGGGAAAAAAGATATTGGTATAGAAAATTGAAGTTGACAGCTAGTGTACATTATTATTACAAATATTATATATATATATATATATATATATATGACAAACTGGAGAGACACAGATTTATTGCTCTATATATAATAATATTATTTCGGTTCATCATCAATACTACACTTTTAATCAGGACATATTTGACCGGGGGTTTTGAATTTGATATTTTATTTTAACTCAGAAATAAAATAATAAATGTTTTGTTATTGAGTATTTTGATTTGCAATTGGAATCATGATTGGTAACATTTATTTATTGTAAAATTTTTAAAAATAGAAATAAAAAAAAATATTTAATAAAAAAATATTACAAATTTGAAAAATATACAATAGTTAGTTTAAAAATATCATTTAAAAATTTTTTTGAAAAAAAAAAATAATTATTCACCGCTAAAGTAACAAACGCTATAATGCCAAAACATATAAAGCACATCATATTAGTGTTTCAATTTTTTGTCATTATTCATCAAACGCGTACCAAGCAAAATAAATTTTACCAAAAGTGATTTTGTCAATGTTCACTGTTATAATACTCAACAAAAATAAAAACACCAAAAATTAAATGCGTACCAAATATATCCTTAAAGTGTTTCTATTAAGTTTTATTAAAATTATTATCAAGTTACTGTTAGAGGGTCTTAATCCCTTAAAAGACACAAATTGTAAACTTGTTTTGTTCAATGGTCAAGTGAAAATATTATTAATACACACATAAGGAATCAAATTATGACCATGTAAATTATAAAAAAATTATAATTATAATTATAAAATATATAAATAATAATAATAATTCTTTGTAAAGTTTGAATTAATGGCCCAGAAGTATTTGAATTCCGGCGCATTTATTAGTGTTTGTCCGTGGACACAGCTCTTGGATCACTGTACGGACAAAAGAAGGTGTCCAAACACAATAATTGATCTGTATTTTATTTTATGATATATATACAACAGTTGTTGGTGACCCTTAAGGTCTTGTTTGATCAGGTAGAAATAGCTTTAAAAAAAAAATATTGTAATGATTGGGTAGGGCTGCGATACATTGATATACTATGACTCTAATAAGTTATGAGTGTACAATTTCACATTGTTTGGAAAAAAAAAAAAAAAGGTGAAGTACTTATATATAAGTTTGTCACTCCAATTGGTATGAGACCTTTTAAGGTAAAGTTCAAGAACAAAATCGTACGGGCTCAGACGTATCATATCATGTAGTGGAGTGGGTCATTACACAACAGTTGTTGTTCCAAAATTTTATTTTCATGTTAAAAAAACTCAAAATAAATCATGCTGCTAAATAGAATTTTTTATTTTTTTTGTAATTGTCTTCTATGTTGCAATTCTAACCACTTATAATCCCGTATAAATATATATATATAGATATATATATTATATGATGAAATATTTGATTTTTCTTCTAAAAAGTAGTATTATGAAGCCTTATTCTAAATATAAATAATAAAATATGAATATAAACAATTATATATTTGAATTTAATAATCCATCATTTTACTTCACAATAATAGTTTTGGTATGCATAATCACTTTCTTTTTACTTTTATGCTATCCAAACTAACAAACTAATATTTTTCACAAGGGTAGTTGTGGTATGTATAATTACTATTCAAACTAACAAACTAATATTTTTCTACAATTTTCTTTCATAAATTTTCATATTAACCAAATGCATATTAGAAAATTTATTTACTTCTCATTCACTTCACTTTTCTTTCATTTTCTATTTCTTTTCTTTTCTATTCTTTTCTACTTCATTTCTCATGGTTGAATTTGTCCCTCCGCCAATAAACCTACCCTATGTATACTATACCAATTACTTAAAAAGTAAGCAACTCTTTGAAATTATGTTTCAGTGCATTGAACAGTTTAAATTAAATTTTCTTTAATTTCACATCTAAAGTATTGATTTAAAACTTTTTTTTTTTTTTTTTTTTTACTAAATGATTTGATACTTTCAAAGAGTGACGGAGTCAGGATTTCAAGTGAGGGGGAGCACACTGCCAAAAAATAATAATAATAATACGGAATGTATATATATATATATATATATATATATATATATAACAACTATAAAATTTAAAAAGACAAAGAAGAAGAAAATTATTAAAATATAAAAGGAAAATAAAAATGAAAAAACTTTAATAGGAAATGGTTAAAAAGTTTCAATTGAGGAAGAAAAATTTGACTTTTTCTATTAAGGAAACTTAAGGAATGTGAAAGGTAAAAGAGAAAATAAAGAAAAAATAAGAATATAATTTTAGGAATTACAAATTTGAGGGGGGCACTATATAAATTTTGTTATATATATGAATTTTTTTTTAAAAATTACCACATATATTATAGGTTGCTGGTCAATTCAGGGGGGTACGTGCCTCCTAAGCCTTCATTGGCTCTGTCCCTGTTTCAAACACAGCATATGATAACATTGCATGATGGTTGAAGAGCAACAAATCAACAATTACAATTTTCACAAGAGAGAGCATTGAGGACCATCCTTGGAGCACAAAGAGTGCAGAAAAGAGAGCGAATTTCGTGAGATTAAAACTTGAGTGGGAGTCGGATTATATAGTAGGGATGTTCGTAAATTTTTTTTTTTTTTTTTTATTAACCTGGGGTGTTCGGGATAGTACGAACCCTTAAGATCCCTTAACAACCCAACTAATCCTCGAGGACCCAGAATGGCACCTCTCCACCCGGGCTGGGTAAGTCACTACAGGAGTAGCGAAGGCTAGCCACAAAGAATACCCAGTGGGATTCGAACTCCAGACCTTAGACTTACTAAATTTCAAAATCTAGCAAGTAAATCGCTGGACTATATCCAAAGTGAGATTATATAGTCCGGATGTTCGTAAAATATTTTGTAGGGACATTATTAACAGTTTAATAAAATTATAATCGGGATATGACAAGTGACGACATGTAACAGAGTGTGTTACTGCATGATCTTATTGATGTTTCATGACAAATAAAACCACTTGAAAACCCTTTTGAAAATTTTGTCGACGAAAACACCATAGTGCTTTTAGTTGCCTTTGACCTTTTTAACCGGTTTCCAAACAGACGTACATTTTCTCTTCTCGTAAAAAAAGAACGAAAAATAAAATGATATCACACGCAAGACCCACACTTTTATAAACAATGGCTCGCAAAACCTCCAACTTTACAAAAATGTCCTTCCACTAAGAAGTTAAGTTGAATTATCAAACACAATCTCACATGGACAGGTGGGTGATTAGATGACTTTCATGACTCCATTTTATAAGTTAACTTCAAAAACCCACTTGAATCCCTCTACCAATCCACCACAACCTTCGTATCATAAGTTGCTACTTTGTACCTTGAACCGGTAAGGGATCTGTGAACCGATTGGGACATGGCAGAATGCATTTCAGATTTAAAAATTTTTATTTTTTGAATCACTTAATGATCAAATTAAACCAAAAAAAAATCAACAAACTAAAATAAAAAATCTTTTAAAATTTTATAGTTTTCCATTTTATTTATTTATTTTTATTTAAAAAAAAATACAAAATTAAGAATAAATCATTAAGCAATCAATCAAAGTCATTCAAGTCAACAAATGTGCTAGAGGGGGTCTCTTCCGTCCAAGTCAAGCTGTGATTGATGTGTTAACTTATTTTGAGAAGGGAATGTGTTATGCATGACTTCTACAAGTCAGTCTCCTTCCTTTGTGTTTTTTTTTTGGTTTTTGGAAAAGTGATGAGGAGTACCAAGTCTGTCATTTGCTAGCTGTAGAATTGTCAAGCTGGAGAATCTTTCAAATCTCAAGAAAAAAAAAAAAAGAAGAAAAAAAAAAAGAAGAAAAAGAAAAAAAACCGAAGAAGAAGAAGAAGAAGAAGAAGAAGAAGAAAGAAAGAAAGAAAAAGAAAAAGAAAAACCTGTCCTAATTTAAATGTTAGGTTTGAAGAATAAGAATTTTTAAGAGAATATATGGGGCATGCCTTATCTATATAGAAAGTTATTAATTTGTTTTTATATTCAAATTTTAAACTCGAAAAATATATATGAAAATATATAAAATATATTATTTAAAAAAAAAAAATAGACAATTATTTTAGAACATACCAAAAAGAAAAGTATGACATTTTTTTTTTTGTGACAGAGGAAGTATGTTATATTTGGAGCATCCAATTGGTACATGAATTTGGGATTGAATGAATTTTTTGTTCAAAAGTACTATATTTTTTCCCAGGTGCGAATTAGGTGCCGCCAAACAAGCCAAACATTGCAGAGTGAAAATGCATAAATTCCACAAAATATAATTCCAAAAAAAAAAAAAAAAAAAAAAAAACTGGCTCTGTACATTACATTACAATCCGTGAAACTATCGAGAAAACAGAAAAAACAGAAGAGAAAGTCCTACGAAAATAATTCATACTTTCTTTGTACTGTATCTGATTTTCCTTTTTATTTTAGACTTAGTTTGGTTGTATAGAATTGAAATCTAAATATTAAAATTGCTGTATTTGAAAAAAAAAAAAAAAAAAATTTAATTCAATTTTCTGTAACTTTGAACCAAATTTTTCTTCAATTCAACAAATTCTAATTATAAGTCTCCAATTTCAAGCAACCAAACATATCCTTAGTGATTTTCATCAACCACCTTCTGTGTCCACAAAGACCTCCGGTGCTCTGCAATGACCGCATCAATCGTTTGCTGGAACTCCTCGTTGCTCAGAGTATCCACCGTGTCAAATGACGACATGCTTCGTCTTCCGCCGGAGAGAACGGTGCTCCGGTCATTATCTGTCTCCGATCGCCGTAGCTCTCGCCGTGGCTTCGCTCTGATCTCCCGTTTCAACTTCTCCGACTGAGTCCTCTGAAACCGCCGTATCTCCTTCGTCGCCTGCTTCATGGCTGTCTCCAATTTCGTTACCGCATTCTCCGACACCACCATCTGCCTGTCGTGGTTGGTCGTCTCCTCCGCCGTCTCCGGCGTCATTTTTCCGTCGGGGACGGTGGTTGTTCGCTGACGGTTCCCGCTGCTTTGAATGTACTCGTCGTAGAAATCCGTAGCGAAGCCGCCATTGTCTCCGGGATCGTTTTGGCGGGAAAGCAAGTAGATAGCGACGGCGATGGCGTTACCGATGAGGAAAGCGATGTGAGTGCTAGAGAGAGAAACAGGGAGTTGTTGTAGGAGATACTCGCCGGAGAGTAGGACGGCAGTCGGCAAGCGAGCCGACCACCAGGAGAGGACGGCGAGAGCGACGCACACCTCGAGCAACCGCAACACCTTGGCAATTTTTCGACGCCGACGGTACCTCATCATGGCTTTCTCTTTCTCAACTTTCACGTTATCAATGTCGGAAAATTCCATTTTCTCGAGAAAATTGCTTGATTGGATTATCTGAAAATGGTTTTCAAAAATCCCAAGAACTAATTAACGAGAAAAATGAAACGATCAAATTCAAAACGCCCTTTATGTTTGAGAGAAAACGAGTGAGAATTGTAGGGGAAAATAAAAGAATTTTCCTGGAAAATTGGAAAGAAACTAAGGAAGAAAATCCGAGAAGAGTGAGAATTAGAGTTTTTCTGGGTTTCAATAAATGGAGGAATTAAACTTGAGTAATTCCATTGATGTTGAAGCATTTTATAGGCCTCTCCAAACAATCCATCCACGGTGTCTGCTGTGACTGTGAGAGGATATAAAAAGTCTTGTCACACACTTTGTCAATATTACATTAGCAATAATGTGCGTATATATACTTATAATAAAATATCTATTTTCTCAAATAGTAATTAAAATTAATTTCTTAAAACAATCACACTAAAATATCAATTAAAACAAACAAATTATTTATTTTCTTTATATATTTTCTTTATCTAATTAAACTCATAATAAATAAGTAATTTGAGTTTTATAAAAACCCTTCTAAAAACCTTATATTATCTATGAGACGTATATGTTTCCTTATTTATTAGGGATACGAAATTATTTATTTGTTTATATTTTCTCTATCTAATTAAACTCACAATAAATAGGTAATTTGAGATTTATGAAAATTCTTCTAAGTATTTTATATTAATTATAAATAAATAAAAACTCATAATAAATAGGTAATTTGTGTTTTATAGAAACTCTCTTCTAAACAACTTATATTTATTAATTAAAAAAAAAATAGTTATAAAAACTCGCTTAAAAATTCTTTTTATATTAATTAATAAATATTTTTATATTAATAAATAAATATTGAAATATTAAAATACTGAAACTCTTTACATTTTTATAAAAATAAAAATATAGATTTATAATATATGTAAGAAATATGGATGAGGAAGACACATAAGAACCGATCCGCGATCAAGCCAAAGCACGAGTAGATTGGGTTGGTACACATAGTGAAGTTTAATGGGATTTAGTTTTACTAGGGGTGGCAAAATATATTGGTTAGAAAACATCAACCCGCCCATATTCACTCGCTTTTTAATAGTTTTGGGTGAATCATATTTAAGATGGATAAAAAATGAGTTGACTAATTTTTAATCACTTAATCTGAGGGTCAAGATAGGTTGAATATGGTTACCCATATTCAACCCATATTTCACCTATTATATAATAGACACGCAACATATATTTATTCTATATTGCATTCAACTCATTTCTCTCTCTAAAATTCACTCATTCACGATTAGGGCTGCAAGTCGGGCTGGCCTAACCCAGCCCAGTCCCAACCTAACCTCAACCCGAAATCGGGTTGGGTTGGGCCAGCCCGAATATTTTGGGCTGGTTTCACGGGTCAATTTTTTTTTTTCCCCAAATCTGCAAATTACATTTTCCTTTTCATGTTTATAAATATCAAAAATTTTAAGAAATTTTTATTTTTAAAACATCAATATTTTGGGCAGGTTGGTCGGGTTTCATGGGTCAATTTAAATTTTTTTTTTTTACAAATATACAAATTACATTTTCCTTTTCCAAGTTTGTAAATATCAAAAAAAAAAATTAAAACATCAATATTTTGGGCGGGTCGGTCAGGTTTCACGGGTCAATTTTTTTTTTTTTTTTTTCAAATATGCAAATTACATTTTTCTTTTCCATGTTTGTAAACATCAAAGTTTTTAAGAAAAGTTTATTTTTAAAACATTAATATTTTGGGCGTGGCGATCGGGTTTCACAGGTCATTTTTTTTTTTTTTTTTTTCTCAATTATGCAAATTACATTTTCCTTTTCCATGTTTGTAAACATCAAAATTTTTAAAACATCAATATTTTGGGCGGGTCGGTCGGGTTTCATGGGTCAATATATATATATTTTTTTCAAATATGCAAATTACATTTTCTTTTTCCATGTTGTAAACATCAAAGTTTTTAAGAAAAAATTATTTTTAAAACATCAATATTTTTTGTGGATCGGTCGGGTTTCACAGGATAACTTTTTTTTTACAAATTACATTTTCTTTTTCTATGCTTCTAAACCATCAATATTTTTAAGAAAATTTTATTTTTAAAATATCAATATTTCTTCTTTTTCCTTCACTTCTCTCTCTCTAAAACGAGTCGATAAATATTGCTGAGTTTAAGATTGTTTTTTTTATTTGTTATTAAATAAAATTTTAAAACCTTCAGAAAAAAAAAATAATTAATAATAATAATAATAATTAATGGGTCCACGGGTCATAACGGGTTGACCCTATACAGTTTTTACCCGCCCATTTTCAACCCATTCTAAACGGGTTGAATATGGGGTCTTGACCCGTCTATTTTCAACCCAACCCAAACTCGACCCAACCCGCCCATTTGTCATCCCTAAATTTTAGGGTGATTGTTGATCATGGTCCTATTTGATTTGTGTTAGCCAAATGTCTTACTATATTTTATTTTTTCCACTAAAGTAAGAGAAATTGTTTCTCCCCCACTCAAATGCACACAATGTTCTCGTTGCGATCGGACCACTGCCTACTCGGAACAAAGACCCAAACGCCCTCCGGGCCGGGTGCTTGACATGACTCCAAATCAAGAACTGGGTCTGGCTCTAATACTAATTGTTACAAGGGCACTTACCCATTTACCCAAAAGCTCAATCTGTTGGGTAGTATTGCGTACCCATTCATTTATACCCAATCACTTTCTCATCCGAATCCGATGTGGAACAAGTCTCCCCTTATAATACCTAATTTGGGGATGATAATGGATTTGGCTATGGACGGTGGTGGTGGGGAAGTTTGGCTTTTATTTTATGTTTTTTTTTTTCGATGAGGATCATTTTGGTCAATTAAAAGGACTTATATATGTTAGGGTAAAGTGTAAAAAAAAAAAAAAAAACCCCTCCTAAACTTTTGACTGTATTTTATTTAAAGATAGGATTTTTATGGTCCTGTAAAATAAAATAAAAAAGTAACATTCCTTCGAATTTTTTCAACTTTTTACTATTATGATACTTTAACTAAAGAAATCAAATTATCAAAAATTACATTTTGAACTTGAATAAATTATGAAGCATCTCGGCTCAAACCTTTTGAGAATGGGGAGTTATCATTGGGTTAGGTGATCTTTGGAAAAGATATTTCTAAGAAAATAAGAAAACATTTTTAACTACAAAAAAAAAAAAAAAAAAAAAAAAAAAAAAAAAGAAAAAAAAAAAGAAAGAAAGAAAGAAGGTATGAATATGTGCATTTTTTACCTTCATAATATATAAATATTAATTGACCAAATTAATAAGTCCAACAATTGAAGAATCTATTTTGGATGTGTTTGTCTAAATAAATTTTTGGGTAATTTTCACTCACACCACCCGGGTTTGCAATAAAGACATGTAGATACAACTTAGGGAGAGTATGATCCAATCGCTCTTCAAGTTTACAAACTTGAACAACACCACCATAAACCATGATAAGAGTACATAATTGCCCTTTGACTTCTAAATTGATTCTCTTAAATTATTAAATTACAATATTAACCTTTATAAGTCCTTTTAATTGACCAAAATTACCCTTAGCAAAAAATAAAATAATAACAAAAAAGCCAAATTCCACCACTGTGGTCGCCAATGCCATATATATATATATATATATATACACACACACACACACAAAATAAATATACACACACACACACACATACACGTAAATATATATATGGACTTCAACATTACCACCACCACCAAACAACCAAGCGAAAGCTTGTGATAGAACCGTGATTTCCCAATGACGGTGATGACTAATGGAAGCTCCGACGAAGGCTACCATTGGACCAGACAACGGTGGCGACTAGGGAAATTCCCGACAGCTATGTGATGTTGAGGCTTCGACGAGAAGAATAACATATTTCATGATCTCAGGCTAGATTTTTTCGGTAATGCGATGTTGAGGCTCTTACGAGAACAGATTTCGAGATCCCAGGCTAGATTTGTTCGACGATGCGATTAAGAGACTTCTGATCGATAGATCGATTACTAATTATAAATCAACCTGTTTTGCAATAGCACAAATCACTGTAAAATAGGGTTATTGGTCGGGTAAGTCGAACCACTGGGACTGCTAGTTTATGGCAACTTAGGTATCTAAGATCATCTTTGATAATGATAAGGAGGTTTATAAAGGATTTGTTGGATTGTCATTAAAACTAAAATGTGAGGTTCATAAAATAAAGCTTGCGAAAATTAAAGCGAGATAAAATACGAGTAAAGACAACTAGGGAAATGAATCTGCCTCCATCCCTCTACACATGCTAGATATAGAACTAATTTAGGGGACAAACAATATATAATGGTCAAGAATTATATAGCGACACATAGTTGCCATATAATTAACAAGAAGTACATTAAGCCTTAAACAAGCATAATCCACCAAAGGTGAATGTGTTTAAACTACTTAAACTAGGATGCAACTTAAACACACTTACTTAGATGAAAGATTATCAAGTTCTTGACAAAAATGATGAAGCACATGAAGGTAGAGATTAAGCATACACCATCAAAGGATTTTCCTAAGCAATGATCTATCAAAGTCACCTATCAACATGCCATTAAACCATTTCATAACCTTATTTCCATTGTCACCATGAAAACATAAGCAATATGATTAATGTAAGACATTACCTAGAACAAGATAATCAACTTAGAAAAATCATTCATATATATATCAACATCCATTACAACCAATGAAATGCTCTTGCTCATGAAAAGACCATAGAATATACATTGTAATCCCCAAAATAGAACTATACTAGAACATGGTTACAAGGGGGAGGGGCTTCATCACCTCCCTAGAGGAAGAATTAGTTACCCATGGATGCCCTAGAGGAAGGAAGAAGCTTGCCTCCAACCTCCATTTTCGAGCTCCCTCTTTGTAGCTACAAGAACTCTATCCTCTTCTCATC